TCTAGAAAATATTAATTTTAAAAGTCAGATAAAATATTTATATGCGGTCTGTCTGGATGCCACATTACTACTTTTTAGCTCAGTCTACGATTTTCAAATTGTATTTGGCGCAGACAATGCAATAAAACAAAATTTTTATTGATTGCTTTTACAAATACAAAGGGGGTAAAAAATCGCTTCAGGTCTAAAACAAAACGTAAACACAGCCTTTATAATTTTAACGTCTTCAAAAAGCGAACATAAAAAACCCACCGGTGTTCTTTTATAGAACAGTAAAACTTATAAGAAAGACACGGTTAGAAACTTAAACTTTTAATTGTCACAATTTACTTTTCATCCTCTATCCTTCAGAAGATGAAAGCTATCTTCTCCTGATATCTCTTTCAAAGACTTTTGCTGCCTAAACAAAGCCCCTGCCTAAGAGGATATTTATCGGCAAAACCCGCGCAGCGATCACTTTCTGCAATCCTTTTTTGATTAAGCCATGGCTTTGCTTGTGCAACGTGTAATTCATAACACTTTTCTTATCATGAAATCACTACAAATTTCTGTGTAAAATTCACTATCGTCACAAGCAATAGTGCCAGTAAATAGATAATTTTCTTTTTTTTTCTTTTTTTTGACTGCAAAACTTAGCAAGCCAGCTTAAGCCTTTACCACTAAGTGAAAGTTGTGTTCCACGAAACTATAATTTTTCGCAATGTGACAACCAAGTTAATACAAGATAAAGTATATTTTGGTTTTATGGGATTAACTAAATACATTTATATCAAATTAACCTTCGTATTCAGTAACAGACGGGTTTACTGTAAAACGTCGAACTGTCTCTCCTTTTTCCGCTAATATTTCCTCTATATTTTTCTTTCCCTTCAAATCGGAAAACCAACCCAAATTATCAGCAATGATATGGTGATTGTGACACGTATCACAAGTTACCAAAACTACCCCTTTTTCGTAAGCAGTCTTCGATATTTCTTTTGGACCCTATATAAAAGAAGCATTAGTTGACCTGTAGAAGTATAAAATTTTGTATTAAATAAGCTAACTACTCACTTTTGCAACGTTTCAGCGTTATCAGTGGAATGAAAAAACCTTTCTTCCACTCGCAACAAAATTTATGCACTTGCTTTCAAACGTCGGCATTAAATACAAAAACTTTCTTCTAAAATTATGCGCAAAAAAAGGAAACATGTGAAAGAATTTGAAATTTTACCTGACGAGTGTGACACACTTTGCAAGTATAAGTGAGCGAAAGTTTCGAAGGCAAACTGCCTAAGGTTTTTGACGAATATAAAACGCGTTGGATGATGTTCCGATGCTGCAACCTCGCGAAGGAGAATAATGCACCAAAATATGACATAAAGGGATGGGGAACTAAACCAATTTGAGGACCTTTTCTTCCGACCTTGAATCACCTCTCTCTTTATAGAAAAAACTGTGAAAGACGAGAAGATGGAAAGAGGAGAGAGAGGAAGGAAAAAGAAGAGTATTAGAGCAAGATCACCTGAAGAAAACATTTGATACATAGTTTACGTAACAAGGTAAGACAAAGTAAGAAAAAATAGCTTAATCAGCAAACGACGATAAAAGATTAAGGCAAAGGCTCTTTTGTTGTTAAACAAATTAAATATAGAAAAAAAGTCAAGAAACTTTTAATTACAAAGTTAAAAGTTTCTGCCACCGACTGTCTCCCACTCAACCGGAATAATTTACCAGAACAACGGCTCAAATACAACAAGACAGAGTTATTGATAAAAATGAGGGGACTGTTTAACCAAAAGATAAATTCATTACGACCGATTCGGGAGTGTCTACTAAACTGCAAATTTTTTGCAACCAGTTTTTTTAAAATTTTTTTCTCAAATGCTGCAATATTAAGCAGCAAAATCTTTGTTCCGGCTCTTGGCAAATGTCCAACGGGCATAGATGAAGCTTCGCCATTACACTTAGTTTCATCCCTAACTTTATGAACTTTATGAACTTTATGATTTATTAAAACAGATCGGTTTCCCACAAAAGCTAGTGCAAATTTTCATTTTTTTTTTATTTTTTGACTTTAGAGTCTAAGAGTTCATGTTATACAGACTTCAAGAAATACTAGCTTATACTATTAAGACCTCCAGATGTTTTGAAAGTGCGCAACTTGAGTCTGAGGAAAATTCCTTTAAAAAGACTAGGCTAATATTTTAGCAGGTGAAAGACCAGTGGTCTTCAGCACACAAGTGCAGTTGGTTATGAATATAAAAGATTTGGAAAAGTATAGCTCTGTCAAAGTTTTATAAAGTATGGAATCCATTTTTTCTAAATCAACCTCGCTAGGTGGTTACGAAGTGGCTTGAGAAAAATAGTCGGTTTTT